ATTAAATTTGTTTCTTTTCTTTCTTTTAACAAATTTATTTTGCATCCAAGGTAAATATGACTAATAGTAATAGAAAAGGAAATCAAGCGCATAATCTCTATACAATAGTGAGAATTATTTAATGGATATTTCATTTTCGACATTGTTTCAGAATTGGATACATCCTTTCAAATGCTTCATGCATTTCTCGACGAGTTTTTGCACCTAAAAATGTCGACCGAAAGTTTTAAATTGATAGAAGAGTTTTAAATTCAATTACCAACTAGCACCACTTTTCCCGATACGAAAATAAGTAAAACAACTTTTGGTTGAATCATTCGATAAATTAGACCGGGAAATACTTCCGGTTCGTAACTAAATCAAAAGAATACTCATCATGAATCAATGTGAGTTGAATTCATTTTTCATCTGCAGAATTGATGATGTTCGAGTGCAATCCGTTCGATATTCTGAAATCGAATAGGAAATTTAACGTCAACACTGCCGACCATATTTTGAATTTTGAAATCGCGAAATTTGACCTTGAAGATATTTAAATATACAAAATCGAACTTTAAGTACTTTATCATACTGGAAAGGCAAGTTTTTGCATCACTCGAGCATAACGTCGGGCTGCTTCTAATGAATCTTCTTCACTAAAAATGTCCGAAATTGACCATATAAATAAGAAATAGAAAATGTTTCTAAATACCTTCGAGCACCTGTGCACACCATTTTACCCGAACCAAAGATTAAGCCGGTGGTACGTGGCTTTCGAATGCGCATAATAACAGCAGCAAATCGTTTTGGATTATATTCGGCATTGCGAACTTGCAGAGAAATTCGTTTCAAGTCCAATTGACAACACAGATTCACCGTTGATATAACATTGCTTGAAAATAATTCATAAACGATTCAGGCAAGTATTTCGGTTTTGTTTAGTTTATTCAAATTGATTAGCGGCTCAATTTAATTTGTCGATCAATCAATATTGACCAATGCGTATCTCATTATACCATTTCAGAGAAAAAAAAATGAATTTTTCATTCTCAAGATCCGCTGCTGTCTATCAAAATCATTTTCCTTTGTTTCGAATCGAAATCGAACTGACTATACCAATCATAAAATGTTATTTTCATATGGTAATAAATCTTATTCAAGATAAGATTCTTATCGGCAAACTTCTTTTGACGAATCTGTTTTTCATTCGAGTCTTAAAACCGAGTTTTCTCAAGTCTAATGAGTTGTAAACAGATTGCACATGTAGTTGACAGACGACGAACTTTGAAAATACTTTAATGAACTAATCAAGAAGAAACCAATTATATTGGTTTTGATTGAAATCAACGATCAATTTGAAAATAGTTACTCACGACCAGAAGCTCAACATTTTGAGGCTAGATAACTATCAAATAAACATGATTTTCGAATCATTCGTTGTTGAAGTGGATGAGAAAATGATTTTGTGTTATAGATAGTGAGTCTCATCGGATTTCAATTTGTGATTAAAGCTGATCATTTGAAATTATTATCAAAATGAAATATGAAGAAATCGTCCTTTAGAAGTTCAAATAAATATTTTCAATATTTGTTTACTCGCAAGTGCTTTTAGGAACGCATTGAAATAATTAACAGGACAACTAAATTTGTATTCTGTCGAAAGTTGAAACGAGATCTTTTGATTAATATAGAGGAAAGAAAATATAGAATGCACAAATGTTCTTTTCTCATTCTGTTTTGTATCAAGTCTTAAAAAGAGACTGTAGAATTTACGATTAATACGATAATGTCTTGCAACAGAAATTGATTTTGTCTAAAACAGAATAAAAAGGAAGTCTCCATAATGTCTGGAAGAACTGCATACATGAAAAGGTAACTTTGCGCTGTTTAACCAAATGAAGACTTACGACGTATACAGTTCTCAGTAAAATATTCAATTAAAAATTGTTTACTACTCAAATAAATCGTTCCAATACTCGAATCTAATTATAAATTTAAATCTTATTTTCATTGCGTTAATTGTTCACTTTTCCAGCAAGAAGAGACACTACTATCACTGAACATGAGGTTAGAAGAGATTTTGTTGCTTTCGAATGTATCAAGTAATGCAACGAAGCTATAGAGATCGAAGCCGTGATTGTACTAATACGGAATACAAAAATACTTGCCAATAGTTAGTTTGCTGTTCAATGGTTAAACCGTTGTCCAATCAAAAAGCAGATTTACGAAATTAACTAACTCGACTATTGTGCCCCATTTTTTCATTCATCGACATCTTTTTTTAACTTCCTGAGAGTTTTATTCTATACAAGCGATATCGAATATTTCAAACCGATTTTTGACAAATAATATTTTCTCTGGTTCGTGGTAGATTTATCGTTTTATTTTTCAGATTCAAAACCGAAAAAATCCTTATTGGATTTATCATCAATGGTAACCAGATTGGTTTAGAATTGGTTTTCTTACTGAAAAATGAATAAATTACGCGACAAAAAGAATATGCACATCTATATTTGGATTCTAATGTTGTGTCGAATTATTCTGTCAGCAACTTTTAAACACATGAATATGAGAAAACAGTTACATGTCGTTGATAAATATGCTCAGAGAGAAAAAAAATGATGTAAAGACTTACTGTAGGATAGGTTGCAAATGAGACACATTGCTGATAGGTGGTGTTATATGACCTTCGAATTGTGTTTGTAGTTGCTGTTGGTTGCTAGCAGCGACTGAAGACAATGGATCCATGCATGTTGTAGTTTTGTCTGATGATGCTAACGAATAATGATCATTTTCTTCTTGTTCTTGTCTCGAAGCTTCACTTATTGAAGTCGACAACGATGGTAGGAATGACATTTGAGATACGTGCTGGTCAGTCTGCGCCAACAAGAGAATTTAGATAAAATCACGAATGTGTTGTCTCTCATTTTCGTGAAAGTCGATAAATAATTCTAACTTTTTCTCAAGTTGAGAAAAATTCTAGTAGCTTTTTCAAAGAATGTGATGAAAGAATAAAACTCGAGATATTTCACTGTATATTTTGGCTCACAAGATTATCTATTCACCTGTTAATCGTTGATTGAGGTCGTACTATGTCGATAAGTGAATTCAATTGCAACTAGCAAAAACCTACGAGCATTCATTCGAACAACAAGTTTAGTCAAGATATCGAAATTTGAAGTTCTAGAAAACGCTGTGATCTTGTGGCGAACAAATATTTAATGCGAAACGTGAACATTTTCCGAAACATGAAAATTTGGATATCTCAAACTGAGCTGGGCATTTCTGTAAACGTTCTTGGATGCTTAGTAGTCTCATCTAGGCCTACTTTGAGATATACATCGATTTCTCATTATTGACCTCCTCAGAATGTGCATTATGCATTCACAAAACAACATTATTTTCTGATTCGAGCGAGATAAAATCTTATTTCTGTAATTTCATTTGTTTTTCTCAAGTATGTTGAAGAAAACTCAGGAATCGAACAGAAAAATATAGGTGAGTGTTGAATCTATTCGTATTTATTTCTATACTTACAGATAAGTCTTTTAATATTGACATTCTCAAATGTTTGACCAACTCTGTCATCAGAAATATATACGCCATTATATGACTTACTCAATCCTGCTTGGTAATTACATGTGCAAAAACCAAATATGGTGCAATGCACATAGACAGAACTGAAAGAAAAAAGAGCAAAAGAATTCGTCTTATGCAATCTATGTTTATAATTGCAGTCACCTCTGCAAATTACTCAATAACACACAGCTATATATTGTCCCCGAATGATGCAATAGGGTGTAAAGATTGCAGCATAATTGTTCTTATTTTAATGCAAACTACTTGAAGAGCTTTCTGCGAAAACATCGATCTTAGTAAAAGCATCAAGTTATTGTTGTCAACTAAACTAACTAGAATGAGAATTAATATCGCAATACCGCAATGTTGTCATCCTTCACCTAACAAACAAAAATGATGACTTAGTATTTTTTTTTATCGCCAAAACGCATAGACCTTTACCATTGTCTCGTTTTTTGACACGGTAGTGCAATTGACGCTTTAAAAAGTTAATACTCAGCGTTAATCGATGCGAAAAGAAAAGAACGAACACATTTAGTATAACTAATTCCAATTAGGGTATGGGTGTGTGTGATGAGAAGATATCCACACCCACACCCTTGGACCGGTAACCGTACCTACGGTTATCGTCACCGTTGCATCTCTAAGTAAGACAATCCACATGATTGGCGTAACTAACTGTAGCATTGTTCACTCTCTTTTCGTCACATTAACATGATTTATAGAATTAGAAATAAGATAAGTTCGGTTCGAGTTATTTTCAATTATGAACTTGAATTGGCTTGCAAGATTCAACTTGAGAATTGGTTGGATCTGAAATGAAATTGAACTTGACTGAAAAGGCTCGAAAACAGACTGGAAAGAGATCTCATATTCAATAACCCAAATTTCCGATTATTGAATATCAAGTCGGTTTTCGAGCCAAGTTCGATTCCATTTCAAATTCAACCAATCTTAGAGTTCAATTCTACAGGTCAATTGAAGTCAAAATTCAGATTCTGGAATTGAATTGAAAATAACCGAAACTAGTACATCCTCACATAGAACAGATTGACAACAAATGAGGCAGATTTCAATATAAGAATTTGTAATAATGCTACATGTAAATAAAATTGATGATGATGCAAGCAGAAGAAAAGGATCGACTAAAAAAAATGAATGTTGTTACATATAACTGAAAAACGCGCCAGTGATATTTTCGTTCAAGAAAATCAATGAATCACATCTTTCGAAGATTGCGATTGACATGAGTATAATGATAGTGATAGTTAACTTCGGCTAATTTCTCTTCCATACAACTCGCAGTTTGTCATTCCACAAAACGAGTAGTATATCCTTCATGAAATTCTAATATAGAGAAGCATCTCAGTAGTAATGAGGCCCGTTTTTAGTAAATTCATATTCTTTTCTTCATAAATATCACTGTAAGAATCAAAACCAGTTCGACGATGAATAAGAAGAGATATGAGAGTCAAATTGATAAGCAAATCATTCATCTTTTTTTTTCTTTTTTGTTTCAATTAAAGGGAACTCATGGCAGATATGAGAGCTGCGGGGTGAGTTATACAGATTATTTTGAAGACCTTATGTCTTCTACAGTACATGTTTTGTCACAATAGAATGACACAAAGCAATCTAGAATATGATAGTTTTCGAAAGATTAGATTTAATCGCTTTACTGTCAACCAATATTGATTATATTTCCCAATATTGAAGCTCGAATATATAAGATGTAAGCGACAATAGCCTCTCTTTTCTCCATTCTGCTTATCGTCTGCCGAAAAATACCAACCAAACATACTGACAGACGAAAAATAAGAAAACGTCGACCAAAAGAATACACGATCAATATTTTTCCTTCTTCTGTATGACATACTGTTCACTTTCTCGAAATATACACTAAGCACAATCATAAGTGTCGGAAGTAAGGAAGAAATAAAACGTGCATGGTAGCATTTCCCAATTTGAGATGGGATAATGAATTCATTGTTGTTGTCTAATTTCAGATTATATACAAATCCATGTCGTGAAATTATGGCTGTATGCTCTCTTCAAAGTGAAACTGTTAAAAATGACATCATCATTCTCGGCAATTCTGGGTCGAATAAGAGTTATATCTGTAATATCCT